GTCATAACCACCCCCCCTCCCTCTTCTCTCATCGCTCACTCCCCCTCTCTCTCTACTTACATCACGACGAGCACCGACTTCAATCACAGGTCACTTCATCGGCAGGCATTCGTCAATGTTGGCTAGTCCTTTGTTCCCAATGGAATCGGTTTGCATGTCCACATTCAATTTACGCATCACGCGGTAGACATCGAATCTACCTCTAGCCTCGAGGCTTGTAATCGTTGACCTCCAAGGGGGGTGTACGGTCGCCTGGCTTAGGCGCCCTGACCACCATCTCCAACGCTTTTCGTCATTGCCAGCGTCCTGAGGCTTAGCCGATTCGCCATTGGCAGCATCCACCATCTCCTCCTCGTCGTCTTCCTCTAGAACGATAGTGTCGACGCCACCACGAAGGCTGAGTGGTCATCAGGAGCCTTTGACAAGCCTGTACTTGTCCCATTTGACTCTCTTACCTGGATCGGCCGACCAGCAGTGGCGTAGCTAGGATTTTATGTCAGGGTGGTCCAATTGACATGAAAAAAATTACACCACGAATTCAATTAAACCAACATATGCATACAAATTATATCAAAAGCATATATCAATAAGGTCTTTAAAATGATAATAAAATTCATGGTTAGGTATTAAATTCGCGTAAAAGAAGATAACACGCCTTATTTGTCGGGATAACACCTTCTCAAGACCATGAAAACTATTATTATATCATTTTCATTCACTTTGGAGAAAGCATCTCGCTCGATGTATATATAGGGTATAGCACAATAGAAAGAGATGCTATGTCGCGGGGTCCTCTTCATTTTGCAATAACTGTACACAAACATTAATTTATTAGTTATCAATTGGAATAAATCCCTAATGATCAGTCAGTTCTAAATATCAATTATGATCAATCGCAAAAAATAAAACTATACCTTGCACTCTCAGATCTCAGCTTAACTTGTTCAAATCTTCATAGCAAAAGAAATTTACACTTTGAATTAGAACAAAATATCTTACTTTAGATTGGAGTAGTAGGATGAAAAACTGACCAAGTGGTGCTCAACCTAACTAGGTTGTGCGTGCGTGCGTGCCTCGCCGGCCGCAGCCTGCAACTGTCCTTCGCCCGGCCGCCGGTCCGTCGCGTCGATGAGTGCCCTGTCGGCCGGCGGATGCACGCTTGGGGCTGCGGGGCGATGGCGGATGACCGATGGCAGATGGCGCTCGCTGCTAGGGTTACAGAACTGGAAGAGGCGACGGGAATCAGGAAGGTCTTCTGGTGTCGATCAATCAGCGCACACACGAACATTCACGGAGACTAACAAGTCAATCCTTCACGTGTACATGGGCTGAGTTGGGCTTGCTTTTTTCTTTTTCGTTTTTACAGACTAGTAGTATACTAATGGGCTGAATTCCAGGGTGGTCCATGGACCACCCTGGCCACCCTACAGCTACGCCACTGCCAACCAGCCTCATCCATGGCCCACCGCAGTATGTCCACTGACATAGGGTCAGGTACCAACCTTTCAACTCCGTCTTTGCCGCCTTCGACAACACCATGTTTGCCACTTTATGCATCTCGTCAACGTTCTTTAATCGAGGGCACGCCTTCATGGTCTTCACGAACTTGGTGCGGTCACGGAGCGAGCCCCTCTTATGTAACCTGATACATGACCCTACCTACGTAACCTTCCCACTAATTCTGTCTCCCCACGAATTTCACAGGATGGGCCCCTCCTTCCACTCTCTTTCCAATCACAACCTGACAAGTGGTTAATAACGTAAAGATTACTTAAATTTTCGTGGATGTAGCGTTGCTCATGGAGACGTTGTGTTGCTTCCCGGAGCTCGTCATAACCCCCCTCACCTTCCTCTCATCGCTCACCGCCCCCTCTCTCCACACACTGGTGGCGGCAAGCATCAAAATGAAGATCTAAACGGCGAGCACCGACATCGATCACATGAGTGGCGTCAGTTGCACGTGAGGAGCCACGCTTGAGATGACGTGTTGCTTCCCGAAGCGTCGTCATAACCCCCCTCACCTTCCTCTCATCGCTCACTGCCCCCTCTCTCCATTCTCACATTGGCGGCGGCGAGCATCAGAATGAAGATCTAAACGGCGAGCACCGACATCGATCACAGGCCTCATCACGTCACCGGCAGGCATTTGTCAATGGCGGTTAGTCCTTTTGTTCTCACTGACAGGCATTTGTCAATGGCGGTTAGTCCTTTGTTCCCAATGGAATCGGCTTGCATGCCTGCATTTGATATACGCGTCACGGTATAGACATCGAATCTACCTCTAGCCTTGAGGCTTGTAATCGTCGACCTCCAAGGGGAGTGTATGGTCACCTGGCTTAGGCGCCCCGACCACCATCTCCACCGCTTCGGCATTGCTAGCGTCCTAAGGCTCGAACGATCCGCCATTGGCAGCATCTAGAATGATAGTGTCAACGCCACCGCGACGGCCGACGGGTTATCAGGAGCCCTGACAAGCTTGTACTTGGCCCGCTCTATGACCTAGATCGGCCAACTTGGCCTCGTCCATCTCCCACCGCAGTATGTCCACTGAGATAGGGCCTTGAACTCTGTCTTTGTCGCCTTCAACAACATCATGTTTGCCACTTTATGCTTCTCTCAACACTCTTGAATCGAGAGCATACCTTCATGGCCTTCGCGAACTTGGTGCGGTCACGGAACGAAGCCCCTCCTATGTAACCTGATACATGATCCTACTTGACCTTCCCACTAATTCTCCGTCCCTCCGAATTTCACGAGATGTACCCCTCCTTCCCCTCTATCTTCAATCTATACCTGGCCATCTGCCGGGCCAGACCGGGCTTCGGGCCGGGCCTACCAAAGCCCGATGCAAAAAACCTAGGCCTGAGCCTGGCCCGGCCTGGCTGCCGGGCCTAAAAATCGGGCCCGAGCCTGGTCCATCACGCTAAAAGCCCTCTGGGCCTCAGGCCACGGGCCACGGGCCACGGGTCGGGCCTCTTCCTTACATGATGAATACGACGGGCCCGGCCCCAGCCCGGCCCAACTGTTGGGCTCAAAATCTAGGCCCAGGACCGGCCCTAGGCATGGTCAGGTCGGGGCCTCCGGGCCGGGCTGCTCATGGCCAGGACTATTTCAATCACAACTTGAAAAGGGGCCAATCACGTAAAGATAACTTGAATTTTCGTGGATGTGGGGTAGCTCGTGGAAAAGAAGGGCAATCTCCTCGTGCCCCCTCCGCGTGGTCCATCAACCCTTTGCGAGCCCGCACCGCCAAGGCGACACGCGCAGGCACACTGTGCACGCACGGGAGGAAAAAGGCAGGAGTTATCGCCACGGCCCACGGGTGTCGGCTGGGCGGCGCGGCTTGCATCCCACCCGATGCAAGGCATCGAATCGCGCCAACCGTCCGCGTGACGGCTGCTCCTTTGTTCCCTCCTACTTTCCCCTGCTCCGCCGCTCGCCCCCTTTCTATATACTCCAGAATCCACTCCCCCACTCCACTCCCTCTCTCTCCCGAGCCTTCCCGAGTACTCCGGCCGTGAGATCAGATCAGATCGACCGAAGTCCAAAGAAGAGGGAGAAACGGCGGAGGATGGCGGACTGGGCTCCGGTGGTGGTGGGGGTGGTGCTGTTCGTGCTGCTCTCGCCGGGGCTGCTGTTCGAGATGCCGGGGTCGCACCGCCACGTCGACTTCGGCGGCCTCCACACCAACGGCAAGGCCATCTTCGTCCACACCCTCCTCTTCTTCGCCGCCTTCACCATCCTCACCCTCGCCCTCCACATCCACATCTACGCCGGCTAGACTGACACCCCATACCCCATAGATGCGCCATGTACTACCAATACTACTAGCTAGCTCTTGCCTGTCCGCGTGCTGTTCTCTTGCTCGGTAAATCGATCCCCTCCATGTAATCAATCTGCTTGTAATCCAATCCCTGCCTGCAAATCTGGTGAAGAAGCGTGTTGATTGAGGTGCTGTGCTATGCCTGTTTATTTATCTGATCCGATCTGATGTGATGTGATGAGATGTCTCTGTCACCGTAGCTTAGCTTAGCTCGTCGTCGTCGCTGGGCGTTTTAATTAAGTCGCTGCGCATGCTACTGGAGTTCGTTAATCATCGTCCACTTTCCGATTAGTTCTTTTGACTTTCTGCGCAAAGGAATATGTATTCCTTCCGCCGTTCCGCGGCTCACCAAAGCCACTGAAGCATCTTTTGCCAGGGACGAGCAGAGTCTGATCCGCCTAGAAAGCTCGCTTTGGCCTTCGTGAGGAAAGAGGGTGGATGAAGCGGAC